GGAGGAGGAGGGAGTGTTGGGAGTCTGGGTGGATCGTGGTGGAGGAGGAGGAGGAGGAGGCCGGGCGTGGTGCTGGCAAACCCCACACCCCCCCCCCCCTCGTGCGCCGTGCCGGACTTTCATAGGTGCTGCTCGCTAACAGCACTTGCCCTACAAGTCTATTAAGGCTACACGGGTGAGCTTTGTTTTTGATGAAGTTGGAGGTTGTTGTGGGGGTTGGGGAGAAAGGGGCAGAGTTGGGGGCAAGGGTTTCGTGGCGGGGTGAAGGGGGGGGGTGAAGGGGGGGTGAAGGGGGGGTGAAGGGGGGTGAAGGGGGGGGTGAAGGGGGGGGTGAAGGGGGGGGTGAAGGGGGGGTGAAGGGGGGGGTGGAGGGGGGGTGAAGGGGGGGTGGAGGTGGCAGAGCGCCGTGGTGATGGTGCTGCTGGTCATTTGGCAGTGATGGTGTTGATGTTGGTGGTGGTAAAGTTGCTGTCGATGCTGGTGCCCGTGATTGCAATGGTTGCTGACGGTGAGGATGGTGCTGTTGGCGATGTTGCTGCAAGTGGTGGTAGCAATGTCGGTGGTGCTGGTTGGTAGGTGTTCTGCAGTTCCGTGCCGGCCTTAATAGGTGCGCGCTAAAATAATTTGCCTTCACATTCTGTTAAAGGCCGTGAGGCCTTTGGGTTGTTTTTGGAGCTTGTGCAGCTGCTGGTGATGATGGTGGTGCTGCCGGCAACGACAGTAAAGACGGATCTGCCAAAGAATGATGATGCTGATGATGATGGTGCTGATGTTGGTAATGGCTCAGTTGATCTAACTCGGAGTGGGGACGCCGTGGGAGGGAGAGAAGGAATGCAGAGAAGGGCACCGCGGGGGGCGTGCGAATGAGAATGGAGTTCTGAGTTTTGGGATTTGCGGTGAGGGTGGTGGAGCGGTGGTGCAGCGGTTAGCGCTACGCTGCGCTACGAACCCGGCGACTCGAGTTCAATTCACGCTCACGGCCACCACCAACACCGGTGACGATTACCTGAACCGGTCCTGGGTCAAAACAATCCGTCGACCCAGCTTTGTTGTTTGTAGTAAACATCGCCACTGGAGAGACGAAGGCGGCCGGGCGTGGTGCTGGCCACACACAACCCCTCGTGTGCCGTGCCGGCCTTCATAGGCGCTCGCTAAACAGCACTTGCCCCTACAGTCTGTTACAGGCTACACGGGGGATGTTTATGTTTGGTGTTGGTGGTGGATCCTGGTGGTGGTGTAAGGTTGTGGGGGGCTGGGTGGTTGCTCTCTGTTGCACCAGGGGAGAGGGATTCCTCCAGTCCAGATGCTTCCCACTCCGATTCGTACAGCGGCACCCCCAGCACCCCCCGTGATCGAGGAGGCAAACGCTTTAACGAGCTGAGTGTTTGGCAGTAATTAACGAGAACAAAAGCCCCGACTGTTATTCAATTAGCGGCCGCATAATTACCCCGCGGGGGAGCGGGGGGGGGGGGGGGGTCGCTGGTGGCGTTGGCTGCAGGGAGGGGAGGGCCCACGAGGGTTTTGAGATCCGCAGCGATTTTATTCTTCTTCTGTTGAAGCCCCAAGGCGAGAGGAGGGGGTTGGATCAAGGAGGGGTCTGGGGTGGGAATGCAGGGGACGAGGGGGGGGGGAGCGTGTGGTGAGCATTATATATGTTTACGTCTTGACGTCTCTATCGATGACTGAGCTCGATCGCGGCATCTGCCGTCGCTGCCGCCCGGGATGGAGTCGCCTCGGAGGCTGCCTTTGCGGTGCGCCGGTGACTGCGATTCCGCGTCCGTACCGCGAGCGTAGTCCGTGCCGGTCGTGACGAACACTTCCCGTCGACCGATCGACGGGAAGTGTTCGTCCCGGGATCTTTCCGCGTGCTCGTCGCGTCACGGCGTCCGGCATTCACTCGCGCCGCGCGCTGCGTGGGGGCTTCTTCGCGACCGGTGGCGTGGCGCGAAATGAAATGTAACAAAAATAATACAAGAAGAAGAGAAAACGTCGGACATCGACGCCGATCCGACACGCGGTGCAAACCCCCCCACCCACCCACCCCCTATACACCGGGGACCGCTTCTCACGGCACGAACCGCGACCGCGGAAACTTCCACGAGCGGCGGAGCCGGTGACGAGAGTCGGCGCGCCGTGCCACCGACGGTGCCCGGCGCCTGCCCCCGGGGTTCGTTCACGCGTGCGGCAGAGGAAGATTGACGCGCGCATTCTTTTGCGCGCGTCCAATTTTCGCGCACGAATTGGGAGAGGCTCCCTGCGCGGATTGGCTTGGGTTAGTCGGCGAGTTTGTAATTAGTAGCGCCACGCCTGCTGACTGTGTTTCCGTGCACCCAGAGAGAGCGAGAGACGGGGTCTCGTTTGTCACGAACTTGTTTGCAAGTGGGGGGTCTCATGGGCCATCACACGCGCGCTTAATGGACAATCCCCCCGTCCGCCACTGCCTCCGCCCGGGCTGCGCACGCTGACGCAGCGACCAAGGCGCTCGCTTCAGGCTGAGTCGACTTGAGGGAAGTCCCCACCGGGACAGGTTCAGTGACGCCGCTGGCCGGGAATCGCAGCGCAGCGAGCGAACCGCTGACACCACCGCCACCCCTCGCTCCCCATGCGGACCGCACGCACTCAGATACGCGCACGCGGCCGTGATAGGAGCTCGCAGACATCGGTCCCTACCCATAAGGGAGCTGAGTAGCCGCAAGATCGTGCGGGTAGCTGTGTAGCGTGCACGCTGTCTCAGAGATGAGCGCTGGAGGTAAGAGATGGTGTAAGAGATGGGGTAAGAGATGGGGGTGAGAGATGGGGGGTAAGAGATGGGGGTGAGAGATGGGGGTAAGAGATGGGAGTGAGAGATGGGGTGAGAGATGGGGGTAAGAGATGGGGGTAAGAGATGGGGGTAAGAGATGGGGGTAAGAGATGGGGGTAAGAGATGGGGGGTAAGAGATGGGGTGAGAGATGGGGGTAAGAGATGGGGGTGAGAGATGGGGGTGAGAGATGGGGGTAAGAGATGGGGGTAAGAGATGGGGGGTAAGAGATGGGGGTAAGAGATGGGAGTGAGAGATGGGGTGAGAGATGGGGGTGAGAGATGGGGGGTAAGAGATGGGGTGAGAGATGGGGGTGAGAGATGGGGGTGAGAGATGGGGGGTAAGAGATGGGGGTGAGAGATGGGGGTAAGAGATGGGGGTGAGAGATGGGGTAAGAGATGGGAGTGAGAGATGGGGTGAGAGATGGGGGTGAGAGATGGGGGGTAAGAGATGGGGGTGAGGAATGGGGGAGAGAGATGGGGGTAAGAGATGGGGGTGAGAGATGGGGTAAGAGATGGGAGTGAGAGATGGGGTGAGAGATGGGGGTGAGAGATGGGGGGTAAGAGATGGAGCTAAGAGATGGGGGTAAGAGATGGCAGGTAAGAGATGGGGGGTAAGAGATGGGGGTGAGAGATGGGGGTGAGAGATGGGGGTGAGAGATGGGGGTAAGAGATGGGGGTAAGAGATGGGAGTGAGAGATGGGGTGAGAGATGGGGGTAAGAGATGGGGGTAAGAGATGGGGGTAAGAGATGGGGGTAAGAGATTGGGGTAAGAGATGGGGGGTAAGAGATGGGGTGAGAGATGGGGGTAAGAGATGGGGGTGAGAGATGGGGGTGAGAGATGGGGTAAGAGATGGGGGTAAGAGATGGGGGGTAAGAGATGGGGTAAGAGATGGGGGTAAGAGATGGGGGGTAAGAGATGGGGTGAGAGATGGGGGGTAAGAGATGGGGTAAGAGATGGGGGTAAGAGATGGGGGGTAAGAGATGGGGGTAAGAGATGGGAGTGAGAGATGGGGTGAGAGATGGGGGTGAGAGATGGGGGGTAAGAGATGGGGTGAGAGATGGGGGTGAGAGATGGGGGGTAAGAGATGGGGTGAGAGATGGGGGTGAGAGATGGGGGTGAGAGATGGGGGGTAAGAGATGGGGGTGAGAGATGGGGGTGAGAGATGGGGTAAGAGATGGGAGTGAGAGATGGGGTGAGAGATGGGGGTGAGAGATGGGGGGTAAGAGATGGGGGGGAGAGATGGGGGTAAGAGATGGGGGTGAGAGATGGGGTAAGAGATGGGAGTGAGAGATGGGGTGAGAGATGGGGGTGAGAGATGGGGGGTAAGAGATGGAGCTAAGAGATGGGGGTAAGAGATGGCAGGTAAGAGATGGGGTAAGAGATGGGGGGTAAGAGATGGGGGTGAGAGATGGGGGGTAAGAGATGGGGGTAAGAGATGGGGGGTAAGAGATGGGGGTGAGAGATGGGGGTGAGAGATGGGGGTAAGAGATGGGGGTGAGAGATGGGGGTGAGAGATGGGGGGTAAGAGATGGGGGTGAGAGATGGGGGTAAGAGATGGGGGTAAGAGATGGGAGTGAGAGATGGGGTGAGAGATGGGGGTAAGAGATGGGGGGTAAGATATGGGGTGAGAGATGGGGATAAGAGATGGGGGTGAGAGATGGGGGTGAGAGATGGGGGGTAAGAGATGGGGGGTAAGAGATGGGGGTGAGAGATGGGGGGTAAGAGATGGGGGGTAAGAGATGGGGGTGAGAGATGGGGTGAGAGATGGGGGTGAGAGATGGGGGTGAGAGATGGGGGGTAAGAGATGGGGGTGAGAGATGGGGGTAAGAGATGAGGGTGAGAGATGGGGTAAGAGATGGGGGGGTAAGAGATGGGGTGAGAGATGGGGTAAGAGATGGGGGGTAAGATATGGGGTGAGAGATGGGGATAAGAGATGGGGGTGAGAGATGGGGGTGAGAGATGGGGGGTAAGAGATGGGGGGTAAGAGATGGGGGTGAGAGATGGGGGTAAGAGATGGGGGTGAGAGATGGGGGTGAGAGATGGGGGATAAGAGATGGGGGGTAAGAGATGGGGGTAAGAGATGGGAGTGAGAGATGGGGTGAGAGATGGGGTGAGAGATGGGGGTGAGAGATGGGGGGTAAGAGATGGGGGTGAGAGATGGGGGTAAGAGATGAGGGGTGAGAGATGGGGGTGAGAGAT